TTTATCAACAAATGCAGCAAACTATCTTCCCAAGAACTATCCAAAATACTTTTGATGGACTAAAGGCATTGGCAAAGTAACAAACTTTAGCTGATACCAGTATTTATATATATATTTATTCAAAAGGCTGATTTTTTTCTCCTGTCTTTGCCCTGGTGATAGATGGTTCTTTATCATTTACTGAAATACGCAGTACTCAAACTACCTACCCTGAAAACTAACAAGAAAAGTATATACTGAATCTTGCTTACTGCCACAAGCAAACTGGCTTGTTAGAGAACCAAAGCTTTGGTTTCTGGAGCTTAGAGCTTTCCTAAGAAGAAAACCAAACAGAGGCAGTTTTCTTCTTTCCTAAGAAGAAAACCAAACAGAGGAGAAGCAGTTTTATCTTGTGCACTGCGTTGAAGGATCTCTGCATCCTGGTAGGTAAGCCCAGATGACTCTGTCTTTTCTTAGTGTTACTTTCCCTGCTAAAATGAAAACCGAGAAGTTCTGTGTACATTAAGCATGCAGATACATGATGTATATGCATATTTACAGAGACAGGAGTATGCAGCAGTTAGAAAAACAAAGTTTGATGTTAAACAGAGAATTTCAAATACAAAACTCAAAATATGTTTTTTACAATGAGGGTTGTCACGGGGACACAGACCAAGGGAAGGGGGAATTTTTTCATCTTCTGAAGACTGGATATCTTCAGTTCATTATAATATGGCAGCCAAAAAAAAACCCATTAGAGAACATTTTTTTTTTCTGTTTTTTTTCTGCTATTAAAACCATGTAAAGCACACGTTTTGAGATGTGGAGACCAGACCTGTGCACAGTGCTCATGACAGGCATAGTAAAGTTCAGCTGGTACAGAAAAGAGCATTTAACATAATCCTGGGGATGAATCAGCTGCCTTTGGAGGAGAGACCTTAATTTTGAGAAGTCTGAAGCAAGAGAATGTAAGTTTTACAAAATCACCAAACAAAACACATGCAGAACCACCATTCACCAAATCCTGCAACACCAGGAGTAGCGGGCAGTTGGTAAATCTGGGAAAAGCATTTAAAAACTGAGGAAAGAAAAGTGTAGCTTTATTTAACAGATACCTTTATTTAACAGGAACTTTGCTGCCCTGAGGCACCATGGAAGCACACTGCAGTTGAAGAGTCAAAACAAGACAAGAAAGTCATGAACAGGAGTCCTTAAACTGGAAATGGATGGAAGTAGCCATAGATGTGTCCTCTGACATCCATAATAGAAGAAATGGAAATGCTAGAGGACTGGCAACATGGACAAACCTTTGTCATTGGCTTCAGCACACAATGGGATGCAGAAAATGTGATGTCCTGTGATTTACAGTGTTTTGCCCAAGATCATCAAAGAGTTGTTTGTCCTCAACTGTACAGCTCCATGATGTTGGATGGAGGGCTTTAGAAATCTGCACTGAACTAAAGTAGTTGCCAGGCAGGAAACAGGAAAATGTCTAGAACTGACAAATAATTCAAAGCTAAATCAACTACTGAATTTCAAAGCTGCTGCTGAATTTACTCCTCATCAGTTCACATTTTTTTGTGCCAAAAGCATCCCACACCACTGAACTCCACAGCTTAGCAGGGTGAAGGCAGGATTTCATTTTGCTTGCAGAAGGCTCTGAGCCGGGCTTGTAGGGAGAGCTGCTTTGGGAAATGCCTGACTTGAGAAGTCTTCCTAGTGTGCCACTTGCAACAACACACAAAAGCTATAGTTGTGGTAATCAATCTAAATTCCCTTAAACAACAGATACCAACCACCAGAATATTTAGTGTTTTCTTACATTATCCTTGTACTGAATTACTTGCAGAGAATCTGAAGGCAAGTGTAATTAATCCAAGATGTACATATGTTTACACAGTGTCTGAGCTCTGGCTGGTGCTGACAGGTTTATGAGAAGTAAATTATTACTTGTTAGGAAGGGATTTATTTTACTTTTTAGGGAGCCAGCCTTGAGGTTTAATCTGATTATTTTCCCCCAGTGCAAGACTACACAGACTATTTTCCTTTTTTGCTTGATCCATTGCTGCTCCTGCTAGTGGGAAAAGCACTGAAGCTCCATCATAGTTTCATTAAAGGTGCATTAAAGGGTAAGACAGGCAGAGTGATAGAACCTCAACATTTGGGAGCACAGACACATGATAAATATGGGAACAGCCCTTCAGATACTAAGAAATTATTAGGAGAAAATATGATACTGAAAAATATATGTATTTTCATGGGAATAGTGTGAGAATAGCTACATCAGCTACACAGTTCTTATCTAATTCCATACTGGGTGCTGAATACAGCATGAAGCCAGCAGAAAGAAATGGCATTGGTCATGCTGCATAAATTACAACTGTTATTATAAAGGGGATCAAATTAAGGCTGCAGAGTGCATTTCCTAATTTATTTTCTGCTATTCTTTTAATGTGGATGCTTATTACAGTAATAATTAAAAAGGGTATGCAAATTCAGGATGAAAGAAAGCAAATGATGAGTTGTATGTATGCACAGCAGGCAGTATTACAATTAACTTCGTTGCAGATAAGTCTCTTGCATGTATGTGCCATCAATTCTGATGCTCACAAAATAAAAAGGTATATAAAGAAATGGGATAAACTCTGGTGCACATCAGCTTGAATATGTGCTTCATGTGATCTTGGATGCTTTGTATTTCATCTGTCGACCCTCAGAAAAAAGCTAAACAGACCTCTGCTGTTTGCTTTTCCCAGAAGCTGATTAGTTATGTGTGGACATATAAATATCAGAAGGCTAATGCAATGTAGCTCTTTAGAGATTTAATAATGATAGACTATTTACTAGCACATATTTTTTCATATAAATAACCAGATTTATATCCACAGGCACAAATGAAAATGATGAATAAACATTAACCTTATTTGCCAAAGCTTTTTGTCAATACCTTGGGGTTTTTTCCCATTTTTAAAACTTCATTCTTACCATTTCACCACAGTAATGTCTTCAGCACCCAGCTGGCAATGGAAAGATCTCATCAGGCATCTCACTTTGATCGGAATGATTTCCCTGTACCAGTTCTATCAGTATTTAAGACAAACAAGTAATGTGCTCTTGAGACTACCAAAAGATAATATGGTAGGGCTGGTAAATAACAAATCAGTATAAATCAGCTTTTGAGAAAAGGGATATGGCAATTGTCATGTGTGCTGTAGAAGGAAAATGAAATGGCTTCATATGAACCCTCCAGATGAACTGATGAGATGTGGCCAGTCTACCTCCTGTGCTTGTTTTTAATTCCTGTATGAATTCAAGATGAAATCTTAATTCACATAAAATACGGGAGCTGTATTACAAAGAACACCTTTTACAGAAGAGGGTGTGCTGTAATAAATGCCATGAGATTTCCAACTTCTCTCCTGGGGAATCAAGTCAGTAAAAGAAGTGAATGGGGTGCTCTGGGATTCACTGCTGTGGATGTCCTCCATGCAACAGTGATGAACACACTAGCTGTGTATGGGAGTGTGGTGGGAACCATCTGAATTAGCAAGGTGACCCTTTGGCACATGAGCAAGTAAAACTAAAACACGCAGTAAGTTGCCTCAGCCAATTCTGAGCTAGTAAGTGAAATTGTGTATTTTGAGTACAAGCTGATTTCTGCCCTTTTATTGCTGAAACAAAAGAATTAAATAAAAATATTTACACTGACAACATGCAGCAGTGACTCATGTTTGCATAGGCCTCTTTTCTCCCAGCTTTCCAGCAACATCAAACCTTAAAGGATGATGGCTCCAAGCCATGCAGCCTGTCACCAACCCCTGGGCATTGGCCAAACCTCCCTTGGACACACAGATGACAGGTTTTGTCCATAGAATATAAACAAAAATCTGAATAAAGCACATTTAACGACAGGTGAATAGGTATCTCCAAAGCTCCCATCTATAAGCAGTTAATGAGATGTTTCACTTTTCGGGAATTCTTAATCTTGAATGCTCTCAGCATTAAGCAGATCAATATGACTGCTGATGTTTTACAGATGATGGCATTATGGATTTACTGAGCTTTTACCAAAAGGTGTGAAGACCTGCATGCTACTTCTCTTGTGCTCATTGAAGAATAATTCTTTAATGACTTAATTCTGACATGAAACAAGAGCAGTTGGAGGTCCTAAATCTAATACCAACCAAGAATGAGATCTAGATTTAGATAATAGATGCAACCAAAGAAAACTGCCCTCTTCTGCTCCTGTGGAGCCCTAAAACACCCTTGCAAGCACTGTGAAGAAAGTGAAGAAGAAATCAGTGTATAGGGTCATGACAAAGATGCTGTGAGAGCTGGAGCAGCTCTGCTCTGGAGCCCAGCTCTGGGCTGGGGCAGCCTGAAGAAGGCTCCTGAAGGGGAGACCTTAGAGCAGCTCCAGTGCCTAAAGGGGCTGCAGGGAACCTGGAGAGGGGCTTGGGACAAGGGGGAATGGCTTTAACCTGACAGAGGGGAGACTGAGCTGAGCTCTTAGGCAGAAGCTCTTCCCTGTGAGGGTGCTGAGGCGCTGGCACAGGGTGCCCAGAGAAGCTGTGGCTGCCCCATCCCTGGCAGTGCTCAAGGCCAGGTTAGACTGGGCTTAGAGCAAGCTGCCTTAGTGGAAGGTGCCCCTGCCTGCGGCAGGAGCTCTATGAGCTTTAATCTCCCTTCCAACACAAACCGGTCTGGGATTCTGCAGGAAGCAGGAACAGCAGAACACGCCGCAGCCCCACTGCTGCACGCATCAGTCCCCCACCACCCGCAGCTGCACGGCTCCGCTGGGCCCGCCCCTCGGCCCATGCACACACCGGGCCCCTTCCCGCCTTACTACCGGTCACCCGATGCCTGCCTGCCCCCCACCCCCCAGCACCGCCCTCGCGCCGCGCCTTTCAGTGACGCACGCACTGCTGCCGTTGGCGCTGTGCCCGCTGCCGCGCATGCGGACACAGAATCACTCCTCCCCCCCACCCTGCTCCGGCGCGGTTCGGGTGACCGTAGCGGAGGGAGGCCCGGAGCCCGGCGCTGCCACCGGCTGTGGTACAGGGGGTGGGGGGAACGTGGCGGCCACCGCCTCCTCTGTCCCCGCTACCATGAACATCGAGATCCCGCCGGGCCTCACTGAGCTGCTCCAGGGTTACACGGTGGAGGTGCTGCGGCACCGGCCGTCCGACCTGCTGGGCTTCGCCGCCGATTACTTCGCCCGCCTGCGAGATGCACGCGACCAGGAGGGCGGCGGCACCCGCAAGATGGTTAGCTTCGATGGGGAGCCCATGCAGACCGAGTCCAATGGCGAAGAGGAGCCTGACCGCGGCGACGAGGACGACGACTACGATTTCGAACGTGAGTGCCGGCTCTGAGGGGCGGTGGCAAGGGGAAGCTATGAGCGGCAGCGGGCCGGGTTCGGCGTGGTCCTGCCCCCGGGGATAGGAGGGAAGCAGCTCGGCAGGCCCGCTGGTCTCCGCCACCCCAACCTCAGTGCGGCTGCCCCGGGTGCTCGGGGCTGCGGGACAGATTGAATGGGGAGTGGGGGGAGGCTGTGGCAGCGTCTCCTCGCAGCACGGCGGCCCCTCGCTGGGCGCACTCAGCGGGGTCCTACCCTACCCATCGTCGCTGCCGGCCGTGCACGGAGAGCTGCACCCTTGCAGAGCGGTGCCTCCGGGGGAACCCTGTCTCGCCCTGACTTTAGGCCCTCCGAATCCAGCGAGAGGCTCTTTCCCTGTGTGGGGTGTCAGAAAGCAGCTGTGGAGCTGCCGTGTAACCGCTCGAAGTGCGCCTGGGGTCTGAGCGGAATTATCACACTGAATCGAGCATACTGCCAAGCATGTGATATGGAAGACCATGTGTTATTGTGCAATATCTTCTTAACATTTCTGCCATTAAATCGTTATGAAGAAGTGTGTTTTCTCGCTGAGACTGGGGATGTTTATCGCTGCTGTTGCGTGTTTAAAAGGGTTATTATAAAGTATCAAAATAAGTTTTTAATCTGCTGCTAAATAGCAAAAATTCAAACCCAGCTGTATACTCCTGTTAATACTGTAGCCCTCTAAGAAAACATACCCACGCAGGGCAATGAAACACTACTGTCGGGACACACTGTGTTGTGCAAAGCTCAGTGTTTAGAATTTGGACTGTAACTGAGCTTTAGTGCAAGATGTTATTTGTTTATGGTGGTACTTGGCATACCCAGAATTTTGGACCTCGGCTTACTGAATGCTCCCTCATTATTAGAAGGTAGCTTGAGAGGGAAAAGTGGGAAAAGGTGTGCTTTCTTTCCCTAAACTTAAGTGCTCTCATTTGGAGATCTTGTGTCCTTGACCTATAATGTGAGTAAAGGTTTCTGACTTTTATTGATAGAGGATCCTCTTTTAGACCCTTTATGTCACCTTGTGGATGTGGTGTGTTCTTATGTCTGTTCTCTGATTAAGTTTTAAAGAAACAAGGAGAAAGTAAACCGTGGAACAAATCGGTGTTTTTATTAAGGAAGCAATGAGAGACCAGCTATTGCTGCAGCCCTTTCAGGGTGGAAACTTTACAAAGTAAAACACAGCTTCTGCTCTTGAAAATCCACAACCTAAATATGAGACGGGATATGCGAGAGGACAAGAACAAACTGTACAGTCAGAAGGCATCGAAAACCAGTTTGCAGTTACTGTCTAGATGTGAACGTTTATTTTGTCTAAGGAGAGAGAGGTTCTGTGTAGGGTATACAGAAGAAAATGAGAGGTGAAGAAAGAGGAGGACACTGGTAGTGACTGGGTTGAAGTTCAGGGGATGTGCAAGTGTGAGCACAGATTTATTCAAAAATTTACAGTGATTTTGTGTTGCCAGCAATAACTTAAAGCACCTCTAAATATAAAAGAAGCTGTAGTTTGTTGTTAAATAGATTATTTTAAAATAAAGTTACAGACTGGAGAAATGCAGTATATAGTTGGATGTAATTGTTTTAGATGTGTCATATCTCTGTATATAGCATTTTCCTTTTTAAAACAACCAAAAAACCATGAACAAAAAAACCTCAGTCCACCAGAGCTTTGAATGTCACTGAAGGCAACTTTTCTATTTCATAATCAATTTATCTTGTTCTGAGGTTTGCAAGACCTTTTCCAGAGAAGTAAATGTAAAGTTTTTCTCTTGAATGTTGGCAAGTGCAGTTGAAAGAGTCCTCTGAAGTTAAATGTTTACAGATAAATCTCTAAAACACTAGTGGTGGCAAACAACTTTTCAAATACAGCTTTATGCAGTGAGGCTGTGCAAAGCAGCAGTGGTTCCTTTGCTTCAAGTTTCTGCTTATCATCTTTTGATCATCTTAGAGAGAAAATGTAATTAACAAGGCTGGTCAGTGTCACTTCCTGTAGTCAGAGCCCTTTAGGCAAGTGGCACTGTCAGTAAAGCTTCATCTGAAAATCCAGTGCTCTTCCCTCCTTACATTTTCAGAGACCTGAGGGAGGAAGAGTTCTATGTACTATTGAACAGCAGGTGAGGGTCTCTGTGTAGGGTCAGGGAAACAACTCTTTGATATGTTAATAGTGTGGGTGGCAGTCAGCCATGGCTTTGTGTTTTCTAGGTTTTCTGTTGTTAACTGTTGCCATAGAAGGCTTTGATAAAGAGTAAATGTTCAGTCAGAGATTCTGGTATCTCTGTCTTCTATGAATGTTACAGATAGGACAGTACTTCTACCTCATTGTGAAAAACCAGATCCTGTGTGCTTATGGACTGCTTAGCATTTAAAGGACTCTTAAAGACAGAGGGAACACAAAAAATCTGAGAGTCTCAGATAATCCCACTGGACAGACCCCAGGTCTGTTTATTAATATTGCATTTTTTTTCATTTTGGACAATTTAGGAAATGTGTAATTTCACTGTGTTTTCCTAGGTTAACACTTTGTTAGCTTCCAGTTGCAAAGGCAGGTCAAATGGATGTTTAAGAACGTTTCCATGGCAGTGTTTAAAAAACAAATATGAAATTGAGAGAGTATTTTTGTAAAGTATTATGTTAAGAAAATTTGAAAGTTGTTTAAATAACCTGACTGTATATGTTGTGAGTATGAAAGATGTCTGCACAAATAATGTGCTTATCTTCATGTGCCTACTTTTGCGTCAATATTAAATTTGTTTAGCTCACTTGGCTGCATCTGCATGCTGTGAGTTAGAGAACACTTCAGATAAGTTATCTGAGTTTTTGGTATGCTTTGAGTGCATATAGTACCGAAGTGAGAAGTAGCTTAAAATCAGCATAAGCTCTTGGCCTTTGGTTAAACCATGTGGCAAATGTCTTCATGTAGTCGTAGTAGTACCAATGGTTCCCTTTCTGCCATAATGGCACTTTGTCAATGTGGTAAAAGTCACTGAAACTAGCTAGGCTACAAAAGAGACTTCTATTCTCTTGTGTCACTTGGGAAATTGCTTCCAGTTTTATGTTTATTCTCTGACCCTCCCTGGAGTTTCATCCCTCATTTTAATTGGTTTTGTATACGTGATCGAATGACATCAGGATTTGGCTGTTTAGCAGAGTGTGGAGTGTAATGAATGTGTTGGAAGAAGATGATGATACTGGGGGGAAGAACCTCAAGAGACAGGTATCCAGTGGGCTGTGGCAGAAAATGTATCATATGGAGCTTTCCTGAGAGCCTTTATTGGATTGGTGTAAGTGCAGAATTGACAAGTTGCTAGAGTTGCGAAGAGATGCAAGGTGACAGCTTCAGAAGTCAGGCTGTCACCTTGCATCCTCAGGCTGAGGACATAACCAAGAACAGATATATATTCTTAAAATGTGTCCTTGACCACGACACTTGCGATTTTAACAGGGAACCTCTGGGTGGATGTGTTAAGACAGTGAAATTAAAGCCACAGAAATGGTCTGTCAAGTGTTGAAGACAGTCTTAGCTTTGGGAAATTTTCTGTTTTGAGTAGCACATATGAAGGCAGGCGGGCAGGTTTCCTTCCCTGTCAGCTGAGGCAGTTGCACAAAGGTGCAAGGTGCTGCACTGTTAACTTCCAGTTTTATGTCTCCTGATTTGTAATAGTGATCAGTTCATTGAAAAAAAACCCCCTGTGTTTATTCTTGGAGATATCTAACAGCAGAAGTTAAATATTTTGAGGATTATATACTAACTTGAGCAACTCGGATACTGTAACTAATGACAAGTGTTTTAGTGCAAATTGAGTTTTTCGTTTCCAGGGTTTCACTTTGATATTGAAGGAGAGATTATGTGCTTTTCAGCTGCTTCCTGAGCAAAAGAGACCACTTCATAATGTATTGTTTTTAAAATAATAGAGCATACTGAGGAAGATTGTTATGAAGCAAAATGGTGCCTGTGAATCTGGCTGAAAAGGTATATATGATACTGTTTAGTTCTGCACTGAGCTTCTCAATTAAAATTCAAGGATTAGCTAAATGTCATTTTTAAAACATCAATAGGATATCTGAGCAGAAGGGAGTATGGAAATGCACTTGTACATCATTATGTCATGGATGTGATATGGAATAAGAACTCAGTCCATCTTTGAAATATTTCTCTTTTAGCAGTTAATGGAAGTGCTTAAAATTAAATTAAACCTCTGTTAGATTACTTAATCATCATTTGCTCATGCTTTCTTATTTTGTACTTGGCTGATATGTCCTGTGGAATTCCTTAGGAATTACTGTGCTACATTAATCACAAAGTGTTTATGCTTTGTCTGCGTTAGTTTGCAGGTCAGGCCTCATTCCTTGCTGACTTCCTGAAATAATCCTAAGGAAATTTGCATGATGGAAGTCAGATGATGTGAAAGCTTCTGAAGGATAGCATAAGAATAGTGGTCCTTCAGAAGAATACTGTTCTAGTGTTCAGATGTAGATCATATTCACGGGTTATTGCATATGTTTGTATGAGTTACTGTCACCTTTAAAATGAAAGTGATTTAAACTTTTTAGTAGTACTTTCACCTGCCTACTTCCTCTGTAATTGTGAATTTACTGGGAATAAAGCAAGGAGCTCTCCTGTTTTTTTTGGTTTGTTTTTTGTGTCGTTAACATTAAAAGAGCCTCTCCTTGCAGAACATGGTCCTTTTTTTATTTTTTTTTTATTTTTATTTACAGTATTCTTGCATTGTATAAAGCAAATTGCGTCCAAAGAATAGCTGCTCTATTTAAAACCTTGATAGCAGAGTGGGCACATTCATAATCTGATAATTACTAGTGCTCCATCTTTTTTTCTTTTCTCTTTTTTCCTTTGAAATTTGTTTGACTGACTCATGTGGCTTAATAGCTTAATAGTAATTATAATAAAGGTGGTTTGTGCTCTACTGAAATAGTGTCTAGATTTCTAGGGAGTGGAGGAAGAAGCTTGGGTCTATGATGT